CACCCGGAGCGTCACACCCCCGTCACCCCCAATGTCCCCAACACTTGCCACATCCCCAGTGCCCCCCATGTCCCAAATACCTCCCACACCCCCAATGTCCCCAACACCCTTGACCTTCCCCATGCCCCCCATCACCCGCAATGTCCCCAACACCCTCCATGTCCCCCATGCCCCCCATGTCCCCAATGCCTCCCACACCACCATCATCCCCAATGTCCCCAACACCCTCCATGTCCCTCATACCCCTATCACCCCCAATGTCCCCAGCACCCTCCATGTCCCCCATGTCCCCCATCACCCCCAATGTCCCCAACACTTTCCATGTCCCCCATGCCCCCTGTCACCCCCAATGTCCCCAACACCCTCCATGTCCCTCATACCCCTGTCACCCCCAACGTCCCCAGCACCCCCCGCCCCTGGCAGTGCCCGCTGGCGCACAGGCGACGCTGAGCAGGTGCGTGATCCTCTTCTCGTGGCGCAGGCCGGGGTGTGCCACCACGCAGGTGAGGCTCTTGCCGTTCATGCTGCGCCCGGGCACCAGGAAGAACTCGCTGGTGACGGAGGCCGAGCGCGCGTGGGCCGAGCGCCGCGTGGCGTTGGTGCCGCGCACCTCGGTCTCCCAGCGCACCGAGGGCACCGGGCTGCCCTCGGCCGTGCACGAGGCCGCCAGCGTCCGGCCCTGGCCCTCCTCCAGCGGCGGGCCCGGGTTCAGGATGGGCAGCGGGGGCACTGCGGGGGGACAGGATGTCGGTGGTGGTGGCACGGGGGGATTATTGGGTGTGTCCCTGTTGTGTCACCCATGCCTTCTGTGTACCCAAAGTCCCCAAATCCCTGATGCCCACGGTGTCCCCTCTGCCCTCCATGTACCACATGTCCCCAGTGCCTTCCGTGTCCCCAGAGTCCCTAAATCCCCAATGTCCCCCATGTCCCCAAAGCCCCTCACATCCCCAATGCCCGTTGTGTCCCCCTGCCCTCTGTGTACCACACATCCTCTACACCCCCCCATGTCCTCTGTGTCCTGTGTGTCCCATGTCCTCTGTACCACATGTCCCATGTCCCCTGTCCTCCATGCCCCATATCCCCTGTGTTCCATGTGTCCCCTCTCCCACGTGCCCCATGTCACCTGTCCCATGTGCCCCACATGCCTCACCTGGTCCAACATGCCCCATGTCCCCCATACCCATGTCCCCTGTGTCCCGTGTACTCTGTGTTCCCTGTCCCCTGTGTCCCATGTCTCCTGTGCCCCATGTACCCCATGTCCCCCATCCCACATGTCCCATGTACCCTGTGCGCCCCATTCCTCCATGTCCCCAGCCCCACGTGCCCCATATCCCATGCGTCCCACGTCCCACATGTCCCATGTCCCCATCCCACATGTCCCACATTCCCCATGTCCCCTGTCCCACATGCACCATGTCCCCCATCCCACATGTCCCACATGTTCTACCTGCCCCATGTCCCCTGTCACACATGCCCTACATGTCCCATATTCCCATCCCCACATGTTCCACATGCCCCAGTCCCCATACCCGCCATGTCCCCTGTGCCCCCCATACCCATGTCCCCTGTGTCCCGTGTCCCCATATCCTCCATGTCCCCTGTGTCCCATATCCTCCATGTCCCCTGTGCCCCTGATACCCATGTCCCCTGTGTCCCACATGTCCCCTGTCCCCATACCCATGTCTCCTGTGTCCCATGTACCCCATGTGCCACGTGTCACCTGTCCCCGTGTCCCCCGTGTCCTGTGTCCCCATATCCCCCATGTCCCTTGTGCCCCTCATACCCATGTCCCCTGTGCCCTCCATACCCATATCCCCCATATCCCCCATGTCCCCCGTGTCCCTGTGCCCCCCATCCCCATGTCCCCGTGTCCCCGTGTCCCCCGCCCCGCGTCCCCGCGCTCACCCAGCACCCGGAGCGTCAGGCGCCCCTCGAAGCTGCCCATGGGGAAGGTGATCAGGTGGCACTCGTAGTCGCCCTCGTCGCCCTGCACGGCGTTGCGCAGGACGATGGCGCCGTCGCCCAGGTCGCCGTGGCCGTGGCGCAGCACGCGGCCGGCGAAGGGCTCCTGCACGTGCTCGCCGTGCTGCGGGTTCAGCACGGCCACCTCGGCGGGCACCGCGCCCGGGCCGCGCTTCAGCCACGTCACCTGCACCACCTGCTCCTGCTCCTGCGCCCGGTACCGGCACGGCAGCACCACGTCCTGCCCCAGCACGGCCGTCACGCTGCGCGGCACCTCCACGCGGCCACCGCCTGCGGGACACGGGGACGGCTGAGGGACAGCTGGGGGACACCTGGGACACCTGTGTGACACCTGAGGGACACCTGGGACACCTGTGTGACACCTGTGTGTGACACCTGGGACACCTGTGTGACACCTGAGGGACACCTGAGTGTGACACCTGAGGGACAGCTGTGTCTGGGTACAGGCACCTCCACGCGGCCACCGCCTGCGGGACACGGGGACGGCTGAGGGACACCTGTGTGTGACACCTGGGACACCTGTGTGACACCTGAGGGACAGCTGAGTGACACCTGGGACACCTGAGTGACACCTGAGGGACAGCTGTGTCTGGGTACAGGCACCTCCACGCGGCCACCGCCTGCGGGACACGGGGACGGCTGAGAGACACCTGTGTGTGACACCTGAGGGACAGCTGGGACACCTGTGTGTGACACCTGGGACACCTGGGACACCTGGGACACCTGTGTGACACCTGAGGGACACCTGTGTGTGGGGACAGGCACCTCCACGCGGCCACCGCCTGCGGGACACGGGGACAGCTGAGGGACAGCTGAGTGACACCTGGGTGTAACACCTGAGGGACACCTGTGTGTGACACCTGAGGGACACCTGTGTGTGGGGACAGGCACCTCCACGCGGCCACCGCCTGCGGGACACGGGGGACAGCTGAGGGACAGCTGGGACGCCTGGGACAGCTGGGTCACCTGTGTGTGACACCTGGGACACCTGTCTGTGGGTACAGGCACCTCCACGCGGCCACCGCCTGCGGGATGGGGACAGCTGAGGGACAGCTGGGACACCTGGGACAGCTGGGACACCTGTGTGTGACACCTGAGGGACAGCTGGGACAGCTGAGGGACACCTGGGACACCTCAGTGACAGCTGGGACACCTGGGACACCTGTGTGTGACACCTGGGACACCTGCGTGTGGGTACAGGCACCTCCACGCGGCCACCGCCTGCGGGATGGGGACAGCTGAGGGACAGCTGGGACACCTGGGACAGCTGGGACACCTGTGTGTGACACCTGGGACAGCTGTGTGTGGGTACAGGCACCTCCACACAACCACCGCCTGTGGGGACATGGGGGAACACCTGAGGGTGACACCTGAGTGTGTCACCTGTGTCCCCAGGTGTGGCACGGAGCGGGCACAGGGATGTGCGGGGGGACACGGTGGGGACAGGGATGTGGCACCTGCACCCGCCGCCACCTGCGGGGACACACGGGGACCTCGGTGTGGCCCCTGTGCCACCCGTGGGCACCTGGGGTGATTCAGGTGTGTGAGAGTACCTGGGCACAGCTGGGGACACCTGGGCACACCTGGGCACAGCTACAGGATTTGGGGTTCAGGTTGGGGGCCTGGCTGGGCTTTGGGCGGGGACCTCGGTGTGGCCCCTGTGCCACCCGTGGGCACCTGGGGTGATTCAGGTGTGTGAGAGCACACCTGGGCACAGCTGGGCACACACCTGGGCACACTCACACACACCTGGGCACACCTGGGCACACCTACAGCATTTGGGGTTCAGGTTGGGGGCCTGGCTGGGCTTTGGGGTGCAGGTTTGGGGGCTTGAGGTGCAGTTCTGGGGTGCAGGATTTGGGGACTGGCTGAGGTTTTGGGGGAAGGTTTGGGGTTGAGAATGTGGGGTGCAGGATTTGGGGGGCAGGATTTGGGGTGCAGATTTGGGGTGCAGTTTTCAGGTGCAGGATTTGGGGTGCAGATTTGAGGTGCAGGATTTGGGGTCAGTTTTGGGGTGTGAGAGTACCTGGGCACAGCTGGGGTGCAGTTTTGGGGTGCAGATTTGGGGTGAAGGATTTGAGGTGCAGGATTTGGGGGGCAGATTTGGGGTGCGGGATTTGGGGTGCAGTTTTGGGGTGCAGTTTTGGGGTACAGGACCAAACTCCCACGGGGGTCCCCGTGGGGCAGAGCCCCGCGCGGTGGGGGGAGGGGGGGCGGATTTTTCCCACGGGGACGCGCGCGCACGTGCGGGGCCACCCCCTGTCCCCTCACCCCGGGGGGGGGGACACGGGCATGGAGGGACCCCCCCCGTGGGGTGGGGGTCGCGCGTGGGGGGGAGCTCAGCCCCCAGGTGTGCGCGCACACGCGTGTGAAAGCGCCCGGGGGGGGGGCTGCCCCCCACGCCGCGGGCACGCGCGCGGACACACGGACACTCGGACACGCGGGCACGCGGGCACGCGCGCGGACACGCGCGGCCGCAGGTGCACACGCGAGCGCTCCCACGTACACACGCACCTGCACACGCGTGTGCGCGCACACCTGCGCGCGCCCCCGCCGCCGCTCCCGGGCCCCGGTTTCACCCCAAGCCCCGCTCCGCGGCAGCCGCTGCCCCCCCCCAGCCCAGCCCGGTCCCGGTCCCGCTCCGGGAGCTGCCGGTGCCCCGGGAGCTCCGCGCTGTCCCGGGACCGTCGGTGCCGGTTCGGGGGAGCCGCGGGAGCCGCCGCTGCCTTCCCCGGCCCCGTCCCGACCCGCAGCCGGTCCCGGTGCCGCTCCCGGTGCTTATCCCGGTGCTCATCCCGGTGCCGGTGCCGGTGCCCCTTACCGGTCACGGCGAGCAGGAAGCCGAGCAGCAGCAGCGGCGGCCCGGGCCGCATCCCGCGGGGGTCCATGCGGAGCGCTCGGGGCTCACGGCGCGGCTCGGGCCCCGGGCAGCACCATCCGGGCCGGACCGGGCCCCACCGGCACCGCCGGGACAGCCCGGCACGCACCGGGACAGCGCCGGTACGACCGGGCAGAGCCTCCGGGCGGGACCGGGAGCCACCGGGACGCAGCGAGGGGCTCCGGGCTGAGCCTGGCCGGGGCGGGCGGACCGGGGCCGAGCCGGGCCGGTGGCGGCGGAGGGGCCGGTGCTGCTCCCGGGCATTCCCCTCCCCTGTTCCCGTTCCCATTTCCCCCCCAGCCCCGTTCCCGGTCCCGTTCCCGTTCTCATTCCCCAGCCCCGTCCCGTTTCCCGCCCCCGTTCCCTTTTCCCGGTCCCGTTCCTGTTCCCGTTTCCCGTTCCTGTTCCCTTTTCCCGTTCCCGGTCCCGGTCCCGTTCCCGCCCCCGTTCCCTTTTCCCGTTTCCCGTTCCCGTTCCCGTTCCCTTTTCCCGTTCCGTGCCCCGTTCCCGGTGCCGGCGCCCCGTTCCCGGTCCCGTTCCCGTTCTCATTCCCCAGCCCCGTCCCGTTTCCCGCCCCCGTTCCCTTTTCCCGGTCCCGTTCCTGTTCCCGTTTCCCGTTCCTGTTCCCTTTTCCCGTTCCCGGTCCCGGTCCCGTTCCCGCCCCCGTTCCCTTTTCCCGTTCCGTGCCCCGGTGCCGGTGCCGGTACCGGCCGAGCCCAGCAGCGCCGCCGCCACCCAGGCCAGGATGAAGGACCAGGAGAAGCTCCAGGAGCTGCGGGGGGGCCCCAGCAGGGCCAGGGACCCCCCCGAGCCCAGCCCGAGCCCCAGCAGCGCCAGCAGCCCTGGGGACAGCGACAGGGGACAGCGACAGCGACAGGGGACAGCGACAGGGACAGGAGGGACAGCGACAGGAGGGACAGGGGACAGCGACAGGGGACAGCGGGGACAGCGACAGGGACAGCGGGGACAAGAGGGACAGGGGACAGCGACAGCGACAGGAGGGACAGCGACAGGGACAGCAACAGGGACAGCAGGGACAGGGACAGGGACAGGGGACAGGGATAGGGGACAGGGACAGCGGGGACAGGGGACAGCGACAGGGACAGGAGGGACAAGGACAGCGGGGACAGAGACAGGGACAGCGGGGACAAGAGGGACAGGGGACAGCGACAGGGACAGGAGGGACAGGGACAGGAGGGAAAATAGAACAGGGACAGGGGACAGTTTGGGACACTGATGACCCCCAAGTTCCCACCCTGCAGGGACAGGGGACAGTTTGGGACAGGAATGACCGGGGACAGCAGGGACAGGGGACAGCTCAGGGCAGGGGTGACACTCCCAGCAGGGACAGGGGACAGCCCCGATGTCCCCAAATCCCCGCCCTGCCCATCCCAGCCCCGTCCCGCCCAGCCCAGCGCTGCGGCCCTGGGGACAGTCCCCACCCCCGTGTCCCCAATGTCCCCCCGTGTC